GGGGGGGGGGGGTCGGGCGCGGCGACACGCGACGGGGGACCGGGGACGGGCATGGTGGACGTGGTGGGGCACGGGGACAGGAGTTCAACCTGGTGGCCAAGGGAGGCGTGCTCAACCTCAATCAGCTGGGAGAGGTGATGCGGAACATGGGCCAGATCATGTCGGCTACCGAGCTGAATGAGCTTTGCTCGGCGGCAGGCACTTCGCCGCAGGCTGTTGACTTCAACGGCTTCCTCACCATGATGGCCAAGAAGGTGGCATCGAACGACTCGAAGGACGACATCATCCTGGCGTTCTCGGTCTTTGACAAGGACGGCGCTGGCTATGTCGCCGCGTCGGAGCTTCGCCATGTCATGACCAACCTCGGCTCGCGGCTGCCCGAGGCCCAGGTTGCCGAGATGCTCGCCGAGGCAGACTCGCACGCCGACGGCCGCGTCAACTACCAGTCGTTTGTCGAGCAGATGCTGGCCAAGGGCGATCACCTGTGACGGGCAGCAGAGGTAAAGACGGCATTGGCCGGACGAGGACGGTCAGGCGGTCTCGACAGCCCATTCGACAACCACCGGTCGGTGATCCGAGACGCGCCAGTCGGCGTACTTGGGCCACCGTCCCGGCTTGAGGTGGGTGGGGAGGAGAAGCGCATCGGCGGCAGTGATGCGGCCGCCTGCCCCGGCACGGGCCATCACATAGTCGCAGGCCACAAACATTCGGGTGTGGGTCTTGTGGGTCACCACACCCTCGCGGTTTCCGTGAATCGCACTCCAGCCGTCGGTGTACCCACATCCGGCCAGCCACGCAGTGACGTCCGAATCGACCGCGTTGAGATCGCCGGCAACAAGCGTGGCCACCACCGGGCCGCGGCCGTCCGACTCGGCGGCCTCGGCGGCGTCGTCCAGCGCTGTGGTCAGCATCTTGATCTGCCTTGTCATCATCGCCATTACCCGCGTCGTCTTGGGATGTGAAAGATGAGTGGTGCCAACAAGGAGACGTCCACCACTTTCTTCCAGCACGGCTTCGACTACCAGTCCGACACGACAGTCCTCGCCGTAGTCGACCTCTGCCACGAGCTCGACCGATGCCAGCGGCGCCGTCTTGGCCCACATCACCACCAGCCCCTCTTCCCGCTCGGGCCGACACAGCTCGATCCACTCGGCATGGAAGCTGTCATCAAGCGCCTTATGCAGCTCGGCCATGTATCCATCGTCAGCGAGCCATACCTCCTGCAGCAGCACAAGGTGAGCATCGCCCGCCAGCACAGCGTCGGCCATCTCGCCAGCTCGCCGGACCACCCGGCTCCGGTCCGATGCCTCGCAGAACCGCGAGTTGGTCTTGTACGGCGGTGCCAGGACGTTGAACGTCAGCACACGCAGCCTTGTCCCGTCACTTGGCCCTGAAGTCCTCTTGCTCGACATGGCCCACTGTGCGCCAGTCGACTGTGCTCTCCGCCTGCCGCAGTGGAATCTTCCAAACGCCTCGCCGCCTCGCTGACAGCCAGACAACCACATCATTCCAAGCTGAGCTGATGGGGGCGATCTTTTATTTGCGGCGACGTGACTCGTCGTCGGGCGATGACGGGGCGGTGAGTGCTGCGACCGAGTCGACGAGGCTGCGGAGAACGTCGTGATCGGCACGGAGCGTGTCGTAGCGGTGCCGCCATCCGTTGAGCTCTTCGCCACGGGCAACGAGCTCGTCACGAGCGGCAGCGAGCTCGCCGCGGACGTTGGCAAGCTGGCTCGTCCGCGCCTCGATCTCGGCAGTGAGAAGCGTGACTTGATGCTCGGCATCGGTGCGATGGCCACGCTCGGTCTCGGCGGCAGTGATGGCGGCTTCGGCCGAGGCCGAGAGCTCGGCGTGCATGACCGTGAGCTCGTCGTAGAGCTTGCGGGTCTTGGCCATGCGGACAACCGCGTCGCGGGCGGCGTCCTTGTGGTGCTCGATCGCGGCACGGGCCTCATCGGCGTCACACCGTGCCTGCGCCAGCTGGCGGGTAATCTCGCCGACGTGGGCACGGAGTGCGGCGGCATTGTCCATCCGCAACGAAAGTTCGTTGAGCGAGGCCAGCGCCGTGTCGTGGTTTTCGGTCATGGCTTTGATTTCGGCCTCAAGCGATGCGGCACGGTGTGCCGCGGCCGTGGCGTCGTTGCGCGCGGCCTCCTCGGCGGCGGCAAGCTCACCGAGGAAAGTCTTGGTTGCCGCCAGCTCCGATGCCAGCGTGTTGGTCTCGGCCTCGGCAATGCCCATAACCTGCGAGAGCGCGTGTTCGCGCGCGCCCACAAGCTCATCGTACATCGCTCGCAGCTCAGCGCTCGACTCGGCAACAGTTCGCGAGTCTGGGATGACCACGCCGGTGCCGTGACCGGAGCTTGCGAGGCAGACGGCAGCACGGAGCGCATCAAGCTGGATCCGCACCCGTCCGACAGCCTGGGCTTCGGCCTTTGCGGCAAGGCGCGCCGTCTTTTCCGACCGGTTTGCAGTGTGCGCCGCGCGCGCCACCGATGCAAAGCCAGCGGCTTGGAGCTGCGCTGACGACGGTGCAGTGAGGAGCGAGACGCTGAGCGAGAGCGCGAACGCGCCGAGCTCCACAGTCGGCGACGCGGTGGCAGTGACTAGCAGTGCGCGAATGAGCTCCGTCGACGAGGTCGAGGTCAGCGTCGCCAGCGCTGCTGCCGCAGATGCGTCTCCACAGTCCCCCGCCAATACATCGAGTACCTGGAGTATGGCCACGGCAGCGGTCGGGGCTCGGGCTGAGAGCGCAGCCTCAACCGCCGTGACTAGGTCGGCGACTGGGGGCTCGACAAGCGTGGCTAGAATCGGATCACGGAGCGCAGCGAGCGCGAGCGCAGAGACTGATCGGCACACCGCGTCGTGCGATGCACGAAGCCTGGCCGGCATGCTGAGGACTGAACCGAGGATCTTGGTCCCGGTCGCACAGTGCGAGCCGAGCGCAAGCGCGCACAAGTCCAGCAGCGGCAACGCGTCGACCGGTGTGGTCGCCGCAGCCAGCGCCCGCTCGAGAGCCGCCGATGTGTCGACCTCACCAAGAACCTGGACCACCGCCGCTTCAGCCGGCCCAGCAAGGACAACAAGCAGTGCGGCACTGCTGGGGACATTGACGAGGTCAGTGACGAGAGCACAGAGACGGGCGCGAAAGTCGTGCGAGTCAACCGCGGCGGCAACAATGTCAGGCGCCTTGGCCACCAGCGATGTCACACCAGGCACAACCAGATGGGCGCGGCTTGCGAGCTCGAGCGCAAGCGCAAGCGCAGCCGCCAGATCCTCGGGCGAGGCCAGTAACGAGGCCCCCAGCGGGCTCTCGAGGCAATGGGAGAGGACAAGATAGAGCGCCGACGCGGCAACCCGCGGCGACGGATGCGCCAGTGCGCTGGCGAGGGTGACCTGCGGTAGATTCAACGAGCCGATGGCATCACCCAGCACTCCGCCGCAGTTGGAGAGCCCAGCCGCAGCAATAAGCGCAGTCGCCGTGGTAATGCTTTCAGTCGCGTTGCCGCTCTCGACAGAGAGTAGGATGCGGGCGGCGAGTGCACCTGCGTCGGCAGCCGCCACCGCGGCTAGCGCATCGCGCTCAGCAGCGTCCAATGGCGCATCAAGCAGGGCAGCGACCAGGGCTAACTCTGCGTCCGGCAGCGGCTCATCTGCGGCGCCCACCATACTCAGCAGGGTGAGATAAAGTGGAGTGTTGAGGCCGGCAGCCGCCACAGCACGCGGGCGCGCGCCTGCGGCTGCGATCCAGGCCAGTAGCTGAACCGCCGATGCGCGGAGATGAACTGCGGACGGATGCGGAGTGAGGAGCGAGTCCCGAACAAGCGGCGCGAGTGCCTCTGCTGCCGGCACCAGATGTGGCGAGAGACGAGATGATGCACCACCCGACACGGCCTCGATGGGCGGAAGGTCGGCCGAGACGCCAGCGAGGGCAGCCGCAAAGGGAGGCGCTGCAGACGGGTGGAGGAACGGGTTGAGTCCTGAGAGGGAGAGCGGTGCCATGGTGGCCACTAGCGCACCTAGCTGAGCGTCGGCTATTTGCGCACCCATGATGCGTGTGCGTATGTATGTATGTGTGTGTGTGTGTGTGTGTGTGTGTGTGGTGGGGAAGTCGAGTGGAGTGGCGGAGAGGGCGGGAGAGGATGTGGTGGGTTTGGCGCGAACCGATGCGCGCGCGGGGCCGTGACCGTCTCCGAGACAGTTGGCCTTGGCTTGGTGACTTGCGCACAGACTGGCGCACTCGACGTGTTCGCATCGTTTACAACAGCGTAACAACGGATCAACGTCTACAGTACCGCCTTGGCCAGATGCTCGGTTGCAGCGCGGTTGCGGCGCGGCTGCTACGAATGGTTCGAGTCGCGGGCGGCAAAGGCGAGCTCGCCGGCGGCGATCGAGTTGGCGGCCCGGGACCTCCAGCTAGTCCGCGTGGCGCGCCAGACAGCGAGATGCGAGGCAAGAAGGACTGGGGCGCCGGTGAGCGGCGCAGCGGCATCGCGTATGCTCTGGGGAGTGTGCTTGAGGGCGAGGGTAGTCGGGGCAAGGAGGGCGTCGGGGTCGTAGTCGGAGGCAGGCTTGGACTCGGACGCCACATCGGTTGAGGCGCGCGAGAGTGTGCGTGGGCTTTGCGACCCGGCGTCAGCGTCGGGGTTGAGGGCGACGCCGGCGTCGGCCTTCCAGGCCTTGATCCAGGCGTAGAGCGAACGGCCATCAGCGTTGGGCGAGGTGGCGATCGAAGCGCCGAGGAGACGGACGCAGTTGTCGGGCACCGAAGCAAAGTCGGCAAGAAGAACGACCGGCGAGTCTTGGCCGCCGTAGCGGGTGTGGAGCGGGACGGTGACGGTGTTGGCGGGAAGAGCCGGCTGCGGCGAGCCGAGAATCTCCGGGTTCTCCTTCTTGAGCTTGCTCAGATGGCGATAGGCCTGGTACGAGCGCTCAAAGGTGATACCGTCGGGCGTACGATACCGGTTGCCCTCGACACGCTTGACGAGGCCGTACAGCCGCGGCTTCTTGGTCTTTCCGGCCGCCGCGGCATCATCGGCCGCCTTGTCAGAAACGCGCTTTCGCTTGCGAGCCGACTTGGCCTCTGCCAGCGACTTTGCAGTCGCAGTCGACTTTGCGGTCGCAGCCGACTTTGTCTTTGCCTTTGACGCGGCCTTGGCCTTTGTCTTTGTCTTTGTCTTTGTCCTTGTCTTGGCCTTGGCGCCCGTCTTGCTCACGGCCCGCTTCCGCTTGCGGGTGGCAGCCGGTGAGGTCTTGCGCGAGGGGACGGCAGGGCGGACCGATGCCGCAGCAGAGGCAGCAGCAGCGACGAGCGAGTCGAGCGGAGAGAGCGCTGGGGTGGGCACGGTGAGCAGCGAGCGTTTGGCCACGGGCGTGGAGAGCACAGCCGTGTTGGTCGCCAAAGACAAGGAGGCGGCGGGCAGAGGCGAAGACGACGTGGGCCGTGGAGAAGCACGCGGAGATGACCTTGGTGAAGGAGAGGCTGGTGCAGAGCCAGTTGTTGCCTTGGAGGCCACCGACAGCCGCATGGTCCTCGTAGACGGGTGGCCAATGGCAACTGTGGTGAGAGAGGGAGAAAAGGCCAGCGGGAGTATTCGGGGGAGGG